ATCATTTTAGAGAATGTGCCAAGGTCGATTATATTGACGATAACATTTTATGAAGTGGCAGCATCGATCAGATCGATCCGCCATACTTGAATGTCCGCCATTTTGTATTTGCTACACATCCCCCTTTGGTAGAAAATTTAACAAACTACGTCAGTTGTTGTGGGAAATATAAACGTTTAATTGATAAACAATTATAATTAAGACATTAAATTGCATTCTACACTAAAAAAATAAATAAAATCCAATTAAAATATCTTTATAATTGTATTTTGAAGGTATGTTAAAAAGGGGTAGTTGAGTTTACGTGTGTGGCTTTCACAAATGGCCTAATGAAACTGACAGGAAGTCGCTGTCGAATGGTTAGAACTCCTACCTTGTATTTGAGAAGTTCCGGGATAAAATCTCGGCCAGTAGAATGTCCTTTCTGATCTGTGTTTTTATGGTTTTCCTCAGTTCCTGCAGGAAAATGTCTGGATGGTATCTTAAATTAAGTTACAACTGTTCCAATTTGTCATTCAACGTTATATAATATGAGCAGTTTAAAGCGTCGTTAAACAAACCAGGAAACCTAATAAACCTAAAAGTATACGGAATCAAAATTGTTTACAGTCATTATTCATCTTCCGAAAAAAAGTATTTTGGCCTACGGTTAACCTGAATGTTTATAAGGAGGCCCCTCTATAGATTTTACGGTTATATGTCCACGTTTCTTTCGTCAGAATCTCGGTTAAAACGAAGAAAGTACATTCGAATCGAACTACATTTAACAAAGTATAAATATTCATAGCTTCAGTGTCATTGGTGACCAATGGTTTTTAATTTAATTGTAGGTTTGTAGTTTTGATCTATTAAATGTGATCAGGGAGATTAGATAAATATGTCTGGTGTAATAAGTACATTTAACTTCCATTCAAAAAGTTTGTTACGATAGAATGAATAATTACAATAATTATAATAATATTATTTACAACTACACTATTACGTTATTATTTCTGAACACCACCCAGGCAAGGTAGGTTTACTGGTGTCCCTCTAAATATGCTGGTACGTTTCTGAGCCACAATTAAACCCGGATCACCGTGATTAAATGCAACAAGTGTTTACAGGCATTAATGACTTTGAAATCTAGTGTTCAGGCTAGTTTCAAATCTGAGCATGCACTGGGCTCTAAAGCCGTCCTTCTCGTGCCAATAGACCTGTAAGTAGCATGAAAATTTATTAAATTATTTCTTAGTATAATGCAAAACAACGTAGTTGGAACCTAGTGTACATTTGTTGGTTAGTTCGCTATGCTTTTGTTTTGTAATGCTTATTATTTTGTTACAGAGTTTCTGGAACTTGTGTTCTAATGTCGGGAACAGAAAATTCATATAAAACAAGTAGTCCTCTAATTACGAAGCTGGACGCTTACAAATAAGTAAAACTGTTATAAAAATCTGGTACAAGAATTTATTTAACTGTATTGTACACGCTATGCTTTTAATAGTGTTTTATTTCACTCAATGTAATCGTGGTAGTGCCACCGTGTACACACATATACACGTGTACCCTTTTTTACATCTCGTCACCGTTAATAGGACAGGTTTTATTTCTGTAGCAAACTAAAATCATTAATTGTGGGTCGCAGTGGCGTTTTAGTTTGATTGCAAGTATTGCCTGCTGCTAGTCGAGCTAATTTTCTGTTCGGCCCATAACCGAGAGTCTCGAAGTTCAGCTACAAACTTATTTTCTCAGTTTATCTTCACGCATTTTACCACGAAATATGACACCTGAAGATTTCACAGCGCAACAACCCGGAAGACAGAAATCTTCATACTCACTGCTGTGAAAACCTCAAATCTTACAAAAATGACAACTACCGGCGTATTACCACAACGGTAACTCTTGGTGTGCCAAGATCAAATTTTGAACACTGTCATCTCCAGCCTGATGCTTCGATCTTATCTTAGTCCTTTAAATCCGAAGTTCATATAAATAATATTTAAGAATCCAGTCCGTACAGCAATGAAAACACAGCTTTTCACCATTACAAAGATGAACTGGTTCGTGCTGCTGATGCTGAAGGAAATATTTCTGTTTATTCGGAGAATCATGCGAACTGTGATATAAATGCGTATTTAAATCATGAAACGTGCAAAAAGTGGCCTATCGTCAAATCTATAAGATGTCCAGACGTATTTCAAAGCTCGAATGAATTGTGAAAAGCGCCCAAAATGTCATCATGTCTGTTAGATGTGCGGTATAATGGCCAAGCACGAGTGATTCATAAAACGCGAAAAATTCATCATCGGGTGTCTTAAGTGCGCGTCTAATGATAAAATCAAAAATTTACCATGAAACGCGCTAGAAAGTAATAGAGTCTATTTGGGGTGCGTATGAAAACAAAAATAATTTATAAATCGATATAAAGGATCGTCAAATCTTACATTATAGCCTGCTGAATTGACAAAAAATTGGAATTATGAAACTCGCTAAAACTATTACTAGGTTTCTTTATACCCGATGTCAGTATATTGGCTAAGGGTGTGGGAATTTTGTGAAACGGGCTAAGATTGTTATCGGGGTCTAGGCGTGCAAACTGCAATGACGAAGAAACATGAAACGCGCTAAATAAATCTTCGGAAACGTAAAGCGAGTCGCTGTTTAACATAAGCGACTACGTTCCCGAAATTTCTCTCATCATAGTGTACAAACGACGGAACTGTTAGAAAAACAATAAAATTTTCCACAAGATACACGCCGAAGCAGAGCGAATTGGTCTGACAGACGGCGGCTTTACGTCATTTAATTGCATTTTCATTATCACGTGTTCGATTTTGTTCGTAAGATTTCGGATGCACGAGTTCGCGTTCGGATGACGTGGCAAGCGGAGGGTATTCGCTTCATTACAGAAGTTCCTATCAATGAAACTGCAAATCGTTGTGAAGGGATGACTGTAACTGCCCTCTAGTGAGCTTGCCTTGAAAAAGTCATTCAAGGCTGTAGTTCCTTCTTGTTCAGACTTGTCTGCATTTCGCCGAGTTTCAATATTTGTGCGTTTCCAAATTCGGCGTCAGTGTTGTAAGTTACGTTTTCTATTTTACTATCACTAATTTAAAACTTTAATTTGTTGTAATTTAATGTATTATAACAGTTTTCAGGGGATTTTTAAGGAAAATGTTTGTTACTAAAAATAGAGCAATTTGTAACCTCACGTACGCATAAAATGTTGGGAACTAATAGTCAATTTGATATCCATTTTTTTAAATTACAGGCACATCTGACAAATGTAAAATATTTTGGGGTAGTTGAGTCAAAGTATCGTTATGTTGATCGATGTAGTTCAGAGAAAGATGTTGTTAGTTTCAATGGAAATACTTTTGAGCTCTTTTTGTCTAAATTTTAATTTGAATACGTGAAAACATTCCCTTCATATCATTTCAATGTTGACTGTTTCATTTGGAAATTAATTCGCCAAAAATAGCTGTTACAGGTTTTAGCTACTGATGTGTCCAGAAATAAAATTAAATGGACTTTGCTATTGTTTTTTTTACGAATTGGTGGACTCTATTGTATCCGGAATGTTAATGAAATTACCGTTGTTCGTATTTTTGTGAACTAAAAGTAATAGGCGACAGTAATAACTTTTGTTTGTCCGTAATAAATAGACTATCATAGAAGTCCAAGAATTAGAATGTTTGTGCATTTCTATTTTAATCTTCGAAATTTAAACTAGGCACAAATGCTCTATCACTGGTTTAATCTATGTATATTATCGTATTTTACGGAAATGGGACATGTGAATTCTGTATGAAATATACTACAATGATTATAAGGTCGATAATTTTTAATAAAGTTGCATCTTTAATACAACTCTTCATAAAATGTTCTGAAATTATTCTTCTAAAGGATTTATCTATAATTTCGTTCATGGAAAAGAGTCGTTAAATAAACTATAAATAAAAATTATTATGGAAGTCGTTGAGTGTAATAAAATGTTATGTAGATTTCACATTTTTATACTGGGTGTCTAAAACCAAGTTGTTAATGCAACGGATAACGGT